CCGGATTTAGGCCTCTCCGAAGATCCGTTATGATTCCTGTAAGTATGGATGTAAAAGCTCTTGCGGCCATTTTCTATGGAAAATGGGACACCCTCTTTGTTTTATCTCGAAAGGGTCATTTTGGGTGCCATCTTGGATTTTTGGGGGGAGTTGCATGAAATTTGAGAAGCTTTCATCGATTTACGAACGCCAGACAATATAATAATGACGGGACTGATGCATCTAATGCAGTTTTGCCACGAGCACGAAATTGGAACATGAGTTTTTTTTAAAATCTCACTATACTGGAAATTGCAAAAAAATGAAATTTGCTGCTGAAGGGCCAGACACACCTGCGCGCTACACGCGCGTCTTGACCCGAAAAGTAGGATCCGATCCAAGAATAAGATAATCCAATAATCCGGACAAAAAATAAGATTCGGCAACGTTTCTTCAAGATGGCGGCTTTAGTAGCAAAAATCGAAGGTACCAAAGTTCAAATTCGCAGTAAGCGCTATGAAACACTTAGGATTCATATGCCAGAGAGTTTTTTCCAGAATTTGGAAGGTAGACCCCTATTTTGGGATAGGCTGGCTGGACTGTCGTGCATTCACATGAACTAGGCAGAAAAGGTCGATTTTCACAGCTCTCGGGCGTTCTGGCAACCCTTTTGCCATCGGAGTTCGACAGTCTGGCAAGATGATATCTAATCACGGAAGTCAATCTTACAAAAAGAGGCTTAAATCAACCATACTACTTTCCGGTTAAATTTTATATAATTTTTCGGAAATTTGATGGGTCTCAAATTTTGAACTCATTGACTATGATCAGCCAGACTACCCGACCCCTGCTTCACTCAAGTACCCTGATCTAAAAATGTATGTTAAAATCATTATACTCTCTGGTTAGATAATTCGGTGCTGGCTCTTGGACTAAAGCAGAGACAAGGGACCCTCCACTGACCTCCTAGCGACAGGTGGAAGCCTTCACTTTCGGGGTTTCAGTAATTCCTTATGGACAATTATTAAGGAGCAACAGTCATCACCCTAGTTTCGGCTGTTGACTTACCTACATGGTCGATGATGAGCTTCGGATGACGTCTTGAGCCAAAGAAGTTTCCCAAACGTCGGCAATTTTTGGCTTGTTTGCAAGATTACGTAGCATGGTGTCAACGATTACGGTGTCAACAAACAGTTTTTCTAAGTTTTTGTTGACACCATGATCATCCAAAAATAAAAAATTCTGACTCTTATGAAAGATGATCATGGTGTCAACGATCACGACGGCAACGAAACTTAAAACTTCCCTGTTTAACATCTTTCAAAGAGCCGTATGCAAAAACGACATTTTTCGCCCCCCCCTCTAAAACTTATTCAAACTTCGTCTATCAGTTACTAATACTGGAGCACTTCTTTCCCCAAATTTTCAGACCCCCAAAAAATTTTGGGGGGGCGCTAGAGGGGATGGAAGTCAAAACCTGTGACCCTCGATATCTTTCGAACGAAACAAGATATTGAGGCCCGGTTTGGACGAAAAATCGTCTAAAATTGCATACTTTAAGATTCTAAAGGTCAAAATCCCAAAATTAAATTTTTAACTTAACGTATGTGCTTTTTTTCAGTTTTTGAGGAAAAACAATTTCTTTTAAACAGATTAAACTGAAATTTCACATTTTTTGATTTGAACCAAAACCAGTTTTTTAAATTGCTCGTTTTTTTCCGCATCCAACGAGTGGTCGTATAAGCTGGGGAACCGAACGGTTCCGGAGTTATGATCGATTGAAGTTTCCGCTCAACGCGCGCCGACCGATTTTCGCGCGCAAAAAAGTCGGATTTGACTGTTATTAAATCAGATTTAATGTTCAAACTGAGCAAAATGCATTATTAGGGACTCTTGAGGGTCGCTGAGTCCAGAAATTACAGATACTTCCAAAAAATTCACGTTTTTAAAATTACAGCTCCGTAGCGCTATTTTAGAGGCCCACTGAACGCCGACCGGCCGCTCAGTGGTCCTGTACGGAGCTGTAATTTTAAAAACGTGAATTTTTTGGAAGTATCTGTAATTTCTGGACTCAGCGACCCTCAAGAGTCCCTAATAATGCATTTTGCTCAGTTTGAACATTAAATCTGATTTAATAACAGTCAAATCCGACTTTTTTGCGCGCGAAAATCGGTCGGCGCGCGTTGAGCGGAAACTTCAATCGATCATAACTCCGGAACCGTTCGGTTCCCCAGCTTATACGACCACTCGTTGGATGCGGAAAAAAACGAGCAATTTAAAAAACTGGTTTTGGTTCAAATCAAAAAATGTGAAATTTCAGTTTAATCTGTTTAAAAGAAATTGTTTTTCCTCAAAAACTGAAAAAAAGCACATACGTTAAGTTAAAAATTTAATTTTGGGATTTTGACCTTTAGAATCTTAAAGTATGCAATTTTAGACGATTTTTCGTCCAAACCGGGCCTCAATATCTTGTTTCGTTCGAAAGATATCGAGGGTCCCAGGTCTTGACTTCCACCCCCCCTAGCGCCCCCCCAAAATTTTTTGGGGGACTGAAAATTTGGGGAAAGAAGCGCTCCAGTATTAGTAACTGATAGACGAAGTTTGAATAAGTTTTAGTGGGGGGGCGAAAAATGTCGTTTTTGCATACGGCTCTTTCAAGTCTTGTTCTCTTGTGTTATTTACTCTAACCTAACTCAACCTAACCTAACCTAACCTAACCTTGCCCAACTCTACCTTACAAGACCTAACCCACTTTCACAGAACTCAACTTGCCCCGACCTTACCCTACCTAACTTTAACCCTACCTTCCTAATCTGACCGTACATATCCTGACCTAAACTAACCTAATGTACCTATACGTGACCCAAACCTCTTCTGCACACTTAATTTTTAATTTTACTCATAAGGAAGATATTTTTCTGTGTGTTAACACTGTGATCGTTGACACCATACTCAGGGCTCATTTTTGAGTTTTACTGCCTGAGCACGACGTCAATAATCGTTTACTCCATGATCAGCTTTTGGGTTTGTTGACACCATGCAACGTTACCGTTTGGAAAACGAAACTGCCAATACGTTGTTGAACATCAACCATGTAGGTAAGTCAACAGTAGAATGCTGAAGTCCCGAAAGTAAAAGCTTCCACAATGGCCAATATACTAGTGAAGGGTCTCTTGTTCTCTGGACTAAAGTGACCGGGAGAACCGGAAAAAGTCAGGGGATGCAACTCGACTGGAAAAAATCAGGAAATAGTCAGGGAATTTTTTTGTGGAGGAGCTTCCCTCGTAGTTGTCGGGTCCGCGACGGGCCAGCTGATCGCGTTGCTGTGCCAGCGTGCCAACTGGTGTACCAAGCGGTGTTTCCGATGACTCTAGGTCAAGGGATTTCAACAGAAGTCGGGGAATGATAAAATGAAATTTTGCTAGCCACCCTGCCTACTGCTGCTAAAACTCAGACTCTGGGGTGAGATTAGAACACAGCGTACTTGATCGCTTTCCCCCCCAAATTTTCAGACCTGAACAAACTTTTGGGGGCGCTAGGGGGTTAAAGTTCATACTTCTTGAACTGTTTGGCTCCTCAGCGGACCACTCGTTGGAACGGAAAAATACGAACAACTCTGAGGACAGTTTATGGTTCACATAATTTGAGACTTCAATGAACTCTTCGTTTGCAGAAACTTTCTTCGACTTAAAAACTAATAGTCTAAGAGCCAGCTGTATTTTTGGCACCACTACTCCGTCACGCTTAAAACTTTGTGGATACATAGTTCTGACCCCCCTCAGTAACGGATTGGGCAATATCAGACTTCAAAAGTGGTTCCTCTGGCCGCTGCGCCCCCCGAAAAATGGAAAAAAGCGTGCGATCGCAGCGGCCAGAAGAACCACTTTTGAAGTCTGATGTTGCCCAATCCGTTAGTAGGGAGGTCAGAACTATCTATCCACAAAGTTTCAAGCGTGATGGAGTAGTGCCGCCAAAAATGCAGCTGGCTCTTAGACTGTAATAACAAAATATCCCCAATTCAACCGAACAATGTTGTTTTGCGGTTTTAACCCTAAGAATCTTGTGCAGTGTGCAATTCTAGACCATTTTTCGTGAAAATCGAACCTCCGTAACTTTTTTCGTTAGAAATAAATCAGGACTCAAAAGTTTTAACTTTCGCCCTCCACGTCTGAAAAGTTGGGAAAAGAAGCGATAATTTGGCGGGGTTTGGAGACATTAAAAAAATATCGTAATTCCCATCGGCACAACGCCTCACGCCTCACCGTGCCAGGCGCCGACGTTTGACCTCTCTGAATGATGTTGCTCGCCCAGAGAGCCGAGGAGCGGGCATCACTAGTGAGGCAGCATAATCTGGCGATGCTGGGTGACAGCATCAGCCAGCTGTAGGTGTCGGCATCGCTAGCGAAGCCGGCTCGTGGGCAGATGCGATTCCCCGGCGCACTGCCCGATCTGGCATCGAAGTTTGCGCCGGATACCTGCCTACTGCCTCGCACGGCGATGCCGCTCCGGCTCCGTGTATGATGCTGCCTCACACCCTTAGCTCTAAAGCCCTGGCTCTTGCCCATAAGGATTACGTTTGGAAATGTACACCATTGTAAATTTTAATTCTTTTGAGGTTTGCCTTCGAAGCTCCTATTTTTGCGTGTAGTGTGAACCCAAGTGAACCTAATCTGAATCAATTCCAAAGAGTAACGCAGTGTTTGTACTAAACAGCCATTCTAGACGTCTTGTCCGTTATCCTAGACCCCAAGCGGATCATACTGTGGCTTCTCCTTTCAAAGAGCCCCTCACGACGCGAAGAATAAGTTTTTAAATCGGCAATTTACAATCGAAAAGAGCATGACCAAGGTCATATTTGGATTGTACCCCACGGACCATGAAAACGGCAGCTGATGGTTTCAAACGAAGCATGGTTCTTTTTTACTTTTTGGATGTAATGGTTCTCCTCTAGAGTTGTCCTGTTGTAAAGAAGTAGCTATTTTTCAAAAGCTCATCTTTTTTCTCTCTGTTTTTTGTTGCAGGCCTATCCGAAGGATGAAATCCGCTTAGTGCAGCGAAGCTCAGAGTGACCTGTGCTTTGTTTGACGACCATGAAATGATGTGATCCAAGTTCCTCCACCATTTTTGTCTTTATTTTCATATTTATCCTGTTACTCAAAAATAACTTAATTTTTTTTTCGCGCATCCTTCAATGAAGTGTCACAGAAATCATTCTAAATTTTTCTAAATCTTGCTTAACATGTGTCAGAAATTCATTCACTCGTAAAAATAACCTGAATCAAAAGGTATTTAGGTTTTCGCCCAAGAATAGTGTAGTCGCGTAAGTGAGATTGTTGACTAACGGAAAATGCGTGAAAAATGTACAACGGGGTGATATTGAAAATTTTTACTTTCATAATCGGGAGTACCTCGTGATTCGTCAAGTTTAACGTCTGCGATATTCTTGAGTTTTTGTGTCCGGAGTCAATAATAATAAGCTTTTATGTTCCTTCTTAAATTAATGATTTCTTGTTCGGGCGTGTCGCGTTAAAATGGACAAGCGGAAAATGATGCCTAAACGACAGAGAATTGACAATTTGCGCGGGCCCATTGCCAACGGCCCAATGCAGACGAGGCCTTTGGTTGCCTTACTAGATGGCAGAGATTGTTCGATAGAAATGCCGATTTTAAAGGATGTAGCAACGGTCGCATTTTGTGATGCTCAGTCTACATCAGAAATCCACGAAAAGGTGAGAATGTTTCTTCTCTAGTATCTATAATAGTTGAAAAAATTGTATTTTTATTTGCATACCGGGTGTTTCAGACCGCGTGTCCACTAAATTTTTTTTAGGAAACGGCCAAAAATTGAGCTTTGGGACGAAAACTTTTCAAGCTGAATCAACCGCACAAAATTCAATGAAAATATTTTCCGACCTTATCAACCGCATTTTCAGGATAGTAGAGGGGTTCCCATTATTATTATAGTCCAGTACCACATGTAAAAATAAGAGGTCCCGTGTGCAGTTTCGTGGGTAAAATTGTTGTCATATACCTTTCTCTTTTTTAGGATGTCTAGAATCAGAATTTCGATGGTGTCAAGTTCAAAAATTGAACCAACGGCCAGAATTTAAGATTGCGTCCAAGATGGCCGCCACCATGGTGAAAGTTTCAAATTTTGCGGATGGCGTCGAGTCAGTTGTCGACTCCTACGTAAAATGACACGAGGAATCCGAGTATCACATTCAAAAACACCCCCGACCCAAAGGAGGGCTCCAAATCCAAGATGGCGGCCAAAAGTACCACTCAGGGGTATTTGCCTATACGGGTCCAAGTGCATAGTGAGGTATCAATGATTAGATTTGCAGGGTTGTAGAGTCCGAAAATGAGGTCCGTTTTATGCTGCGGCCCTCAAGAAACCCTAAAATCAAATATGGCGCCCAAAATGGCCACCGGTTTTACGGCTTAAACACCAATTTAGCGCAGCTATGATAAGCAATTCGTTTGAAATTTAGTTTTATGGGGCAAGGAGTTCGAATAGGCGATCAAATGTTTACTCCTACAAAAAATTGAGCCTCCGAATGGTTGCCATGGAACATGGTTGCCAGTTAGAGGCGCAGACCGGTAAATGACTATTGATATTAAAGGGATTTGCTAAAGGAGGGGTTTCGATAAGGGCCGTCTTTCGACCCATTCCCTGAATTTCTTCAATTCTACGATTTTTTGCTGATTGGAAGTCTAAATTTTACGGAATGTTTCATGCTTTGGTCATTTTCGGTCTATTTTGGGGTCTAATGCTGGCCTAAACATGAGTCTGAAGGCTAATTTTGGAGGAAAATGCGGGTTTCTTGGCATTTGACACGCTGCGCCCACTGTTTCATAACGATCATATATCATCGGAGGAGCAAATTTTCCTTCAAGTATGTTCATTAAGGGTGTAAGATAGTTACTCTGGCCAACTTTCATCGATGGCAAACCTTGCCCTTATAGTTAAAACGAACTTTTTTGAATTTTCTTGTTTTCCATCATTATGGTGTAACAAGGTGATAAAATAGTGCTAGACTCCCACTATTTGCGGGGGGGAGGGGGGGGGGTTGGACGAAGCCAAAAAGTTCAAAAATTTTCAATCAGAGCCAAAAATGTTGTACTCTAATGAGGATCAGTAAAAAACTGATAGTGTTCAAGTCACACAGTTTGCATTGGAATATTAATTTGAGGTCACGTCGAAACACACAGTTTGCATTGGAATATTAATTTGAGGTCACGTCGAGAGATAAATAATTTTGGGTCTTATTTAAATCTCATCAGAAGATCACACTTGTCAACGAAATCAAAAGCCAAAAAGTCCGAAAAATTTTCAATCAGAACAAACAATTTTTAGCTTTTATGAGTAGATATAACAAAAGAGGGTGATTCCAGTAGAAATTTTATGTTTTTTTTGCTGGTTTTTCCTATTTTTTTCGTGAGATGAACCGTTGAGGAGATATTTGCAAAAATCTAATTGTGGGTTTTCTCAATTTTAAAAAATTTTAAAATGGCGGCGTCCTGACCACCAGATAATTTTCCTGAAGTTAATATGGGCAGCTTGGTGAAGAAGAAGATGAAAACGAAGATGTTTTCCTCCCATCACTGTTAAAAACTGTGTAGGGCGGCGGCGACTCGCTCGCGAAGCGAAGAACTTGTGGTCCTGGGGCACTCCTTGGCTAGGCGTGTCAGCTCGCGAAGCGAGCTAATCACGGCTAGTATCATGAAAAAGTATCCCGTAGTCCCCCTCATAATCGCTGAATAAGCCCCTCATAATAATGTTTTTGATAGATTTATCACTGCAGTATCTTTCTGTGACCAAATGAATGATCGAATACTTCAGCAAATGATCCAATACACTTTGTGTCTATTCTTCAAACGTTTCAAAAATGTTGACAGAAGCTTAAGAATGTACATTCCCGTCAATTATGAATAAGCTCTCCTCAGTTTCTGTAATTTCCAAAAAATAAAATAGTATCTCTACGTTCCCTGATTTAATTACGTATCCCTTCAAATCTTAAAATTCTGCTACTGCAGCTAGGTTTCCCTGTCCGTCCTATTATTACGCAAATGACATATTTAAATTACCCCTCCCCCACCCTTTTTTAATGTTGGCTGGGGAGGCTAAGATGTCTAACGCCCCCCCCCCCCCCCCCCCNCCCCCCCCCCCCCACCCACAGTCAATTATATTAGTGTGAGCGTGACCACGACACGCCCTGTAAGTTGCCTTTTAGAGTATGGTATTTTCGCGTTTATTTAAATTTTTTCGTGATTATTGTTTTGGGGGAGGGGGTGGAAGAGGAGGGGAAGGATAAACCCTTCTCCCCTTCCCCCTCCCCCGTTAAATTATGTTAGTATAAGCGTGTTAATGACAAGCCCTGAAAGTCGTCTTACAAAGAGGAATTTGCACGTTTAATTATCGTTTTTTGTGATTATTTTTTGGGGGGAGGGCGGAGGATGTACCTTCCTCCCCCCTGTCACCTCCCACAAGAAGTCACACTGATGTTCTCTTAGAACAAACGCCACTTGTTTTCATTTTGCCGCTCATCTTTGCGCATAACGCTACTTCAAGGAAGCGGCCAATCTTGACGGTTTTTATAGGGTGGGTACTATTGGGGGGTCCCCCTCCCCCCCACGAGGGGCTAGGCCGCCCCTCGAATGAAAAATTAATGCTCTATCATTTTAGGAATAAACAATTTTTCGATATTACCAACCTCCTGCGCGTTATTAGCGAGAAATCGCGGCGAAACGGTCATTTTCGCGGAAATTTGAGATATTTTGACATTTTAAGGTCCCCCATTTTGGGGGACCTCGGGTAATGGCCAAAATCACTTATAACTTTTCTAGAACAAAATTTCACGAGCTTTCAGAATGTCTATGTAGAGTTTAGCCCTAAAATCAAACCTGCTCGAGAAAAATGGGAAAATTCGCGGAAAAGTCGGAATTTTGTGCAATTTTGGGGGGTTTAGGGGGGGCTTACTCCCCCCTCCCCCACCACGATAGCATTAGCGTAAACAAGAAAAATCTTTTTCCACCAGTCGAGAGCTTCAAGAAAATCACCATCTTCAATATTCCCACGGGGGGGGGGGGTTTTACCCCTTGCTGGCCCACGGTCAATAAGATCAATTCCACTTTTGCTACGCTTACAACTTGCTGAACACCATCTCCGTTCCATATTAGCATATCACAAATTACCAGCCGTCAATAATCAGTGTTCAGTGACTGATGGGAAAATAATATGCAATTTATAGCAAAACTAAAGAATCAATTATTTGACAACTTAATTTTTCTTGACTACGATTTTCAATTTAAACCAGTTTCCAACCCTGAATCAGTCCCAGTAACTCGAATTTTTTATCTCCTAACTTCGTTCACTCAAAACCTCTAAAACATCAAAACCTCAATTTCTGAAATTTTTCATCGCTTCTCCTAGTACTTCTATCTGTAGCACCTCTTTTTACTACGAAGCAATGTAAATCACCAGGTGTTGATTCTGAAGTGTGACAACTGTTGTTCTCACATGACAGCTCATGTTGCATTTCATTTTTTATTTCAGGTTCTGAATGAAGCTGTGGGTGCTCTCATGTGGCACACTATTATACTAACTAAAGAAGATCTCGAAAAATTCAAAACATTGCGAGTTATTGTTAGAATTGGCAGTGGAGTTGATAACATAGATGTTAAGGTAAAGTTTTGCTCTTCTATTAAAACCTATTTTTTGGTGCATTCTTGTTCAAGCGGTACTCTCTGAATAGCAGCGAGAGCATTTTTGTATTTTCTGGTCTTTTGTGGAAGGAGTTGTACAAGGTCCTAAACCCCTCGTAGTACTGTTTTTGGAGGCTACCAGCGTAAAACTTTGTAAGTTCTTTGCCGTAACTCCTAGGAAAATTATATGCTTTTATGTATTAATAACGAGACTAGAACAATAAAAAATAGCTGGAATTGTTTGTAACAAGGTGGAGAAATGGTACTGGGTCCACACCATTTCGCGGGGATAACAAAGCCAAGAAATTCCAAAACAATTCTAATGAGAGCCGAAAAAATATTTTGCTCTACTGAGTACCAGTACAGACTGAGAGGGAGGGGGGTGTGTTTAGCACAGGCAGCTTGCATTGGAATATTAAGTTGAGGTCACACCCAGAAATCTTTAACGTTTCAGGTCTTTTTAGACCTCGTCAGTAAATCACACTTGTCAGTGAACCCAACTTAGCATCCCACAAAATCCGCGACTGCATCAAAACGTCAAACGTCGGCATCAAAACTCGAAAATGAGCAAATTTGATGGATATTTGTCGTGCATGCAATTTATTTTTATAAATTTTCCTGGACCAGTGGTAGTGTGTTGGTTTTGTATTTTGAGCTGCTAAATCCGAACATGACCTTGGGTTTTTTCTATCACCCTTCAGTTTTCCGGTGCAACCGATTTTTTCGAGCCTAAAACTGTAAAAGCTTTCCGAGACTCAAAGTGTTATTGAAAATACATTTTAAAAATTTCTGTTACGTTATACATCGATTCCGATGTATTTTGAACTGTTGAATTTAAATATGACCTCAGATTTTTTCTATCACCAATCCTTACCCCGGGAAAGTTCTTTTCCTCAGAAAACGCTCTTCCCAGGAACTTTTACGATGATTTTCCTGTTTTAAGGAATTTTAGAAATTTTCCGAGATCCTCTTTAGGCTTAGATCTCTCCTGCTGTTTTAAGAGGCACTAAACTCGAATTTGACCTTCCTTCATCCTTGATACCCCCCCCCTTTTTCTTAAAAGTCTGATTTTTCTGGGTTAAAAGCTTTTCCAGACTGTTCCCACTTCCAGGGAATTCGAAAAATTTTCTACATGCACATACATCAATTCTCATTAATTGAGCTGAAAACCCCAAATATGACCTCAGAAATTGGTTGTCACCCACTATTTTTATAGAAATTTTTAAGAAAAATTGAACCCACATTTCACTGGGATAAGAGTCGCAATGACACCGCAAAATAGTCTTTAGTACCCATTTATCCAAAAAGTCGTGTTTTCATTCAAAATGGTGGGGGTGGATGATAACTGAGGTCATATTCGGATTCAGCAGCTCTAACTACATAAGTAGCACACTACCACAGGTCCAGGAAAATTTTTAAAAATAAATAGCATGCACGAGAAAGATACGTAAAATGCTCATTTTCTTGGGGGAAAGTCGCTTTTTCGGAAAACTGAGAGGTAGACTGGAAAGATTAAGGTAATTTTGGACTCAATGGCTCAAAATACATTGGAAAAGTTATATCTCGCAGCTACGGAAAATTTTACCTACATCCTGCAGGGGGTAACAGTCGGAACAATTCCAAAAATGCCCAGAATGAATTAGCCCAGGCAATGGAGGATAGAATAGGGGTTTACCTTGCAAAATTTAGGTGAAATCAGGTTATGGTTTGTTCTTATGTAATTTTTTACGCTGAATCCAAATTTTTGGTTTCCCAACAAATTTTCCTTGTGCTAACTCCGGAAAATCGGAAAAACCGCGAAAAATCACGTTTTTCCGCGGTTTTCCCGAGATATCTCTTTTCCAGTGCGATATATCGAGAAAATAGTTATTTCCAAAAGTAATGCTGATAAATTTCCTATAAAAATGATCCGAACGTTTTTTTCATACGTCCATTAGGGAGAGTGCTGAAGCCGTGGAAAGCTCCACAAACTCGTAAAATCGTGATTTTCCACGGTTTTCGCCACTTGAGTGAAATAAATTTGTTCTTTCGCAAAATTTCAAGATAGTCTTACCTTAAAAATTAATGCTGCTTACTTTGAAGACAAAAATGATGACAATTTTTTCTCTTTAGGTCTAGTGGGAGCGGTTTTAAAGCCGCGAAAGGCCGTGAAAAGCTCGAAAATCGCGATTTTCCTGCATATTTTTGTAACAAGTCCGTTCTTGTACAAAAAACTCATTTAAAGTGACTTCAAAATTCAATCTTATAAAATCGTCAACATACATACGTAGAATTTGCTCCCTTGGCGCACCCTGGTGCTCTGCGACATCCAAACGCCAGGTGTGCTTATCTACATAAAGGTAAGGAGACAACGAACGACGTAATAAAATAGTGCAATTTTCAACATACTTAAATGATGTTGAAAGTTCCTTATATATATATTAAGAAACAACGGATATGGATTTGTCGAAAGTGTAAATAATGCAAAAAGTTGACATTTAAAGAATGTTTTGATACAATTTTTCAATTATAGCGAAAACAACTATAATAGTATCGTAATAATTTTATAATATAATAACTATGATAGTAAATACGTTCAATGTCAAGGAGTATAATTCAGATGCATGATCAGGTACTCTGCTAAGTGAATGTCCTGAGGATCTGAAAGCATAATGGAAAGCACGGGTATATTGGCATACCCTAACATATTTTCTATCGGTGAAAGAGCTACTAACAAGGGAAACTTCTCAAGCTGCCGCCTCCGATCGGGCTGAAAAAATTCGTACGAACTCTTTGGATGAATTTATTTGACCTGTATTTTTTGGTTTTTTCCAATGCCCCCCAGAAACACCCCAAATAAATTCCGGAAAGTTTTGCTTTGAGCGCTTGAGTGTATATACGCAGTATAGTAGCGCCCTTTTATCGTCAAGTGGTGGCTCTGCGGTAGCGCGCTCGCCCAGTGATCCGGCGGGCCCGGGTTCGGTCTCCGGGCGCCGCGCAAATTTTTATGACCGAATTTTATATTCTCACACATTTTCGCATCGATTCCCATCTGATACATTAGAACTTAAAACATCAATTCATTTACAACCATCAACGATCAACAACTTCTTCAATTTGAAGTGTAGATTTTTTTTGGGAGGGGGGGAGGGGTCACGCGCGCGATATTCTTGCCAATCAGTGTGCTTTCACATTAGCAGACGACCCGCTCTGCCCCCTCACATCAACATATTTCTCCTGATCACCCGTATGCGTCATGATTTTTCCCATCATTATCCAGAAAATGATAATGAAAAATTGTAGCATTTTTAATTTGAAAGTTCGAGGTAATTTTTCATTATCATTTTCTGGATAATGATGGGAAAAATCATGACGCATACGGGTGATCAGGAGAAATATGTTGATGTGAGGGGGCAGAGCGGGTCGTCTGCTAATGTGAAAGCACACTGATTGGCAAGAATATCGCGCGCGTGACCCCTCCCCCCCTCCCAAAAAAAAATCTATACTTCAAATTGAAGAAGTTGTTGATCGTTGATGGTTGTAAATGAATTGATGTTTTAAGTTCTAATGTATCAGATGGGAATCGATGCGAAAATGTGTGAGAATATAAAATTCGGTCGTAAAAATTTGCGCGGCGCCCGGGGATCGAACCCGGGCCCGCCGGATCACTGGGCGAGCGCGCTACTACAGAGCCACCACTTGACGGTAAAAGGGCGCTGCTATAGCAGCGCCCTTAGAGTGTATATACGCAGTATACTGCGTATATACACTCAAGCGCTCAAAGCAAAACTCTCCGGAATTTATTTGGGGTGTTTCTGGGGGGCATTGGAAAAAACCAAAAAATACGGGTCAAATAAATTCATCCAAAGAGTTCGTATGTATTTTTTCAGCCCGATTGGAGGCGGCAGCTTGGGAAGTTCCCCTTGTAAGTTATAAAGTTGGGTCATGGTTTAAAATGGCAAGAAGAATGTAATTGTTGAATTGTTATAGGTGTTATCGGTGTTTTTTTTCTTTCTTTTCTGCTATCTGAGAATGTTAATTTGTGCCTACTATAATATAAATTTTCTCTTCTTAATCAACTCATCGAAAAACTATTGTATAATTGATGGGAAAATTCTCACCTGCGTTGTCATCACTGCCATCTTAGCAGTATTTTACGACTTCTGCATGAAATCGTCTAAATCGGAGAATAGGAACTTCTGGTTTGATGGATTTATCTGAATTTGAATTGCTCGTTTGAGCTTTTGCAACATCGTATACTAGAATAAGAGAGACATATGCCTAGGAAAATCTTTTGGTATTAATCTGGGAGGAGAACAATGATAAATGCAACCTGCATTCAATACGGTTTGCAGATTCAATGGCAATTTTTCGCTTCCTTGGCATTTCAGGATCTTATTTTTGTTGTCAATGAGTATTTATCCATTGATTGTTGGTTCATAATGACGCTACAATTTTTTGGAAATAATGTGACACTTGCGCAATTAATAGAGTAGTGTCATGATTGCTGAAATCAAGGATATTAATGTGATCTGCCGTAAGGCTAAAATTCTACATCTATAGTACAAGCCTCCCAAAATTTTGAGTAGTTCACGGGCGCGTGCCGTGATTACTCTCATTTTCGTTTTCTCATTTACCTAGAGTTGCCTCATTTACATCACTGATAATACCGAAGTGGAAGAAACCGTGATTTGAATTTCCGCGATATATGAAGTTAATGAGTACAATTTTTTCAGCATCACTGGCCATTTCTATCAATTCAAATAAAAATAAAAAATTGAGTGAAATTCATACCTGCAAACGTCTCCGAACTTCTTTCATCTCTTCGGTCGTCCACTGTTCTTTCTGTGAACGATTCAGGAGCATATTCCATAAATCATCAGGATCATCTACGATAAGTTCCACGGATAAGTCCTCATTGGGTGCATTCTCACATGTACCATTAAAATTTCGACACATAATTGTGCAATTTAATCCGCCGAAAACATCATCACATTGAAT